GAATCAATACTCCACACTTCATACCTCAAAACCAACTGCCTGCGATGTTCTGTTTGTAGAGATCCAGATCTATCTTCTTACATCTCAGGCTGATTTCATGGGTGTTCAGAGTGGTCTGGTAGATATCCAGCTAAATTCTGGAGAGCATTTGGAATAGGGTCCCCTACTCTTCCGCCATCTTTTCCTCTTGAATTACTATATTGTTATCTGAAAATAATGTTACACTGTATGTTAGCTAACTTAAATTTAAAAACTTGAAAAAAAAAAAACTGATTCAGGTCCAGAATTGTATGCAGTGCTCTTAATGCCCCACCCATTAGGTCTAGGCATTCATGGTTGCTTTGTACAACAACAAATCTTACTACAAACACCTTGACTCTATGCCTGAATGCCTTCTCTGGACAGGATGTGGAGTTAGCCAGTGGTGCTGGGGTATTGATATGCCTGAGTGCAGACTACAACCTATTCACCCAACTGTTGGTAGAGGAATGACCCAGCTTCTGTGTCTCTTGAGTTGGGCTCTGTGAACAACTTGCAAGCATGTCCTGCATGCTCCCTGAAGTCCCCACAGGACTGAGCCCCACTTGTCCATAATAGTGACCCTGTATCAGCCTTTACCATTCATGTGTAACTCCCCACTTTTCTCTACATGCTTTCTGGGTCACCTCTCAAATATAATACTTGCTTAGATGCTTAGCACCAGCTATGCCAAATTAAGACAACTGGTGATGGTTGGGATGTGTAGAACTCTCTTCTCTTCTACTGATATTAATAACCTAATAGATATTAAGAGAATTGGGAGAGAAAAGTAGAAAGATCAGCAAGACTAAAAATGAATAAAAACTTAAATTAATTTTAAAAAGAGGAAGGCCTGTTTCACAACCAAGGCAGAGAGAAAAGCACAAAGAGATGCATTATCTTGCATGATTCTGAACACTTTCCTGGGATATATAAGTGATAACAAGGTTGAAAAGGAAAGAGAAAATTGGTGAACCCTGGAATTTTATATCTTGCTGCCCATAGGCCAATCTCATCCTTGATGGGATGCTATCAACTTTCTCAAAGTGCACAGAAAAGCCACAGATGTCTAGTCCCCACTGCAGGTGGGCCTGGAATCCCTTCCATCTTCTTTGGTTTAGATTTCACCTATGAGTTGCTCTATCAGATGAACTTGATGTTGAATGAGCCAACCTCTTTGAGCCAGATCCTCCCCCACTGGAAGTAGGAATGAGCAGAAGATGAGCAACACAACCCTATGCCAACCTGAGACCTCAGAGCAGAGCAAGGTAGCTGAGAAGCCATTTACTGATTTCCTAAGGAAAGTGGGTAAAATGGACAGCACAGTGCATCAGGGAGCTTCATCTCAAGGATGAATCTGAGCTCTTTCCTCTGATTCCTCTCTCAGAAGACATAGATGAGAATTGAAAGACAGCCAAGGGCACCCTTTAACACGGTCTTAATTGAGATAATAGGCTGGGTCATCTAATCATCCTCTCAATGCTTCTCAAGCTTTTCCAGGGCAAAATAACCACCCGCTAGATATTCCTCAATAATGTAGATTCCAAGTTCCTACTTCCAAGGATGAGAAGTCAGTCAGTCACATTTATAGGTGCTGAGAGACTAAATAACAGACAGACCATGGATGGATCATGGTGCAAAAATACAACTCTGACCCACAAACTGCAGCAATCTGCCCAGGAACCAACCGCCTTACTTATGATAAACAGTTCAGGAAGCCAGCTGCCACCAGTCCAACTTGGAAGAAGTCAGATCGCTAAGTTTAGTAACAATCTAGGAAGCTAAACAATAATTTCTGTAGTGGTAGTCCCCAAATTAACAATTTTGGTTAATAACAGACAGCTTTCCTAAATTTTGTTCCCACTTGCAATTTAGGACAAACCAGAGAAATCTGAATATGGACCCCAAACCAATCCCCCTGCTTTCAGTTAGCCTACCTCCAGCTTCTCCATGCCAACAGCCTCCAAGCAGAGCAAAACTGAAGCTTCTCTTTTTTCTACTCTAAAGCTTTCCCACTACTTTATCTGCCATTGAGACTCTGCCAAAATAAAATTTGAGTGCCTGACTGCCTTGCTATAGCAAGCTTTGAATAAATAGCGTTTCTTTACTCATCTGGGTGGTCTTCTTTTATTTTCACAGTGCTCAGTAATTATTTGTTGAATGAGCAATAAATAATAATTAAATACAAAAAAGTATAAGACATCAATTGCATACAAGTTTCACAGAATGACTGACCAGGCTCCACTTCCTGTCTTGCATGATGAAACGTTCAGATTGTAGTTTATTTTTTATTTTTTTAAAAAGATT